CACGCTCCCCCCCCCCCCCCCCCCCCCCCCGCCAGGGGAAGTCAGCCTGGAGGGGCTGGCAGCAAAGGGTGAGGGCCAAGCCACACAGGGGTGGGGGTGGGGGTTCTGGTGTCGGGGCCAAGGTGGAGAGGAGGCACCTGGCAGGGGTGATGGGCCGGAGGCAGCCTGTGGGGCTCCGGACAGAATCTGAGGCCTTCCCCCACTTACGGGGCTTCCTGCCCGGGTCTCAGTCTCAAGGAAGCCTGGACCCTAGGTGTCGCCTTCCCTAACCACTGCAGGCCAGAGGGGCAGCGGTGCTGGCTGGCCCTGTCCCCACTGACCAGCCTCTTGCTTCTTGCTCCCTGAGTGTCCCCTTCTCCCTGGAGCCAGTGTGGGCAGGAGGCCCAGGGAGGACATAGCTGGCTTCATGAGGATGGGCCCTGCCCGGAGCTCAGAAACCAGTAGTCTCCATCGGTGGCAGGGCCCAGGAATCTGCTTTGGTGCAACAGGAGGTGACCCTCAAGGGTGAGTGGTGCCACCCCCAGGTGAGTCCTAGGCGGCCATGACTGCTCAAGGGGTGTCGGGAGGTGAGGAGGGACACTCACTGCGAAGGTGTCCTGGGGAGGGGTGCGGAGGGAGCTCCCCAGAGGTCAGGAGTCTGTGGGTGCAGGGGGTGGGGTGGGTGAACGGAGAGGAGAAGGCTGAGGATGTGGGAGAAGGCGTGAAGATGCTCACAGCATTATAACAAGATTGGGAGTGTGCTGGCACACAGGGGTTGAGAAGGCCAGGCTGGCCCAGGAGCCTAGGGGTTAAGGGAGCTGGATGCCACATGGCTGACCGCAGTTCGAATCCCGACCCTGGAGGCTTGAAAATGACTCCAGGTACACGCACATGAGGCCCCAAATTCCAACAGGATGGAGAAATGGAGATGGGATTGTGGCATGACCATGCCCACTGCGGGGGATGCACTCTCTCCATCTCCTTATCTCCTCCGGCAAGCACACACACCCTGACGATACGAGAGAGAGAGAGACAGAGAGAGACAGAGACAGAGAGGAAGGTGGCTTATGGTCATGGAGCCTGCAGGGGCGGGTTGGGGATCTCGGTGCAGCCCTTGAACTGGGTTGATGGACAAGGGGTGGGGTGCAGCTGCCAGGCTGGAGACCCTTAGAGGTGTGCATCCAGGTGCTCCCAGTAGGCACCCCTGCCAGTCACCGCCCCAAGACCGACAAACTCTCCTAAGTCCTGTGGTCTGGGCTCAGGCCAAGTCTGGCCGCAGTCTTCCTCCTCCATGGAGCCTACCTGGTCTTACCCTCCATGCGTGCTGCCTCTGAGCCTTTTGGACAGGGTGGTTTCTGCCCTGATCCTGGGATTGTGGCTGTGTCTGGGTGACCTCTGGGCCCTCCTCTGCCTTGCACCTTTGGTGCAGAAGGTAGCTGAAGGGTTCGGGTCTTGGGTGGCACTTTCTAAGCATGCACACCCCTCCACACACCCGTGTCCTGAGCTTCTCCTAAGCACCAGGCACTGCTCTTGGGGAAGGTGTGACCGAGATGGACAGGCTTCCTGAAACTCTCTCTCCAGGGTCTGGTGGAGACAAAGAACAAATACAGTGACCCACAGGTGGTGGCACCATCCAGACAGAGGTCCCAAAGAGGAACCGAAGAGCCCAAAAGGCAGCCGAGCAGCTGAGCTGACTGGCGACCTGAAGGAAGGGAGTGGTAGGAAACAGGATGGCCTAGAGAACCCCCTGGAGCTTTTCAGCAGGGACCCATGGCTCTGTAAGGGCCCCATTTTACAGATGGGGAAACTGAGGGGTCACAAGGCCAAATACACTTCCAGATGGTACAAAGTGAACCAGAGGGCGTAGGGAAGTTTCTGGCCCTGAGTCACAGCAGAGCAGGAGTGCTGGGGGCCAGCACTGGCTGGTGGGAGAGGGGCTTTGGCAGAGCCCTGGTGGCTCCCTCATTGCCTCTCCTGGGGCACGAGGGGGATTTGTGCCATTTGCCTGTATGGGGATGTGACTGCAGTTCTGCTCCACGCGGATTCCCCGTTCCCACAAGTCTCTTCCTACTCTCCTGCCCCTGGAGCCCTCTGTTTTACTGTCTTTGGGTTAGCCCACAGGTACTTGGGGCTTTCCTTTTTTTGGGGGGGAGGGGGAGAGGTTTTCGCTATAGGACGCGTGCACTCGCCAGACAGATAGACAGAGACAGAGAGACAGAAAGCGAGAAATCATCCCCCAGGGGGGATGGTCACACCGCAATCCCTTCTCCTCCATTCTCCTCTCGGGATCTTGGGCACGCACACACATGCGCCTGGCGTGAGTTTTAAGCCACCGGGTCTGGGACGCAAACCGCGGTCAACTACATGGGAGTCCAGGGACATAGCCATTACGCTAACTGCTGGTTCCCGGGGCTTTCCATTTTGATGCCTTTTTAAAAAATTTACCTTTATTTGTTTATTTATTTATTTTAATTTGACCAGAGTGACAGAGAGAGAAAGCACGAAAACAAGCCACCAGGTCTGGAACTCGAACCCTGGTCAACCATGTGGGAGTCCCATGCCCTTAACCACCACACCACCTGCCGGCCTGCTTTTTTTCTTTTTCTTTTTTTTTTTTTTTAAAGAGGTTTTAGCTATAGGGCACGTGTGCTCGCCAGACAGA